CCCCACCATGGTATATCCCAATCCACTGGCCACCGACACCAAGCACGGCTCTCCATAGGGAAGGGGCCCCTGTCAGGGAGGGCTGTATGGGGCCCCATGATTTCCAGTGGCACCCTGAGACGGGGGTCTGGGCTCTGGTACAAGCAGAGAGATGGAGCATGGTGTCATTGTGCATTTCCTCAGTCTCCCCTCCCCCAGTGATCAGTCTGCTGCAGGCAGGAGAAAGCATTTCCTCAGTCTCCCCTCCCCCAGGGATCAGACTGCTGCAGGCAGGAGAAAGCACTTCCTCAGTCTCCCCTCCCCCAGTGATCAGTCTGCTGCAGGCAGGAGGAAGCATTTCCTCAGTCTCAGTGCAGGAAGTGGATTTGTAACATTTGTGGTGTTCTCTGGATTCAGGTTCCTCCTGACGGCGGTCGCCCTTCTGTCCACATACTCCATCCATCTGCTGCTGAAGTCTTCCGGAATTGTGGGTGAGTGTCCCGGGTCAGGTGACCGATCTCCGGTCACGTGACCGTGAGAATTCTCTTCCAGGAATCCGCTGTATCAGACATTGGTGGCCATTCTGAAGATGCCGCGTGACTGGCTGTCGGGGTGATCCGGAGCCGGCCGGGGGGAGATCAGCAATGGCGGCCCTCGTGTCTCTCGCATGGCTCAGCCTGTCGCTCTCTGTTGCAGGTATTCGCGCCTACGAACAGCTGGGGATGAAAGCCTTCGGGACTCCCGGGAAGATGGCCGCCGCCATCGCTATCACCCTACAGAACATCGGAGGTCATTGTCAGCGAATTATACTGTGTGAGGGACTACAAGTCCCAGGAAAATGTGGGAGGGGCAGAGACCAGTGTGGGAGGGGCAGAGGTTATTGTGGGAGGGGCAGAGACACAAACTACTGGAGGAAATCTCACCATTGTGGGAGGGGCAGAGACAAACTACTGGGAGGAAATCTCACCATTGTGGGAGGGGCAGAGACACAAACTACTGGAAGGAAATCTCACCATTGTGGGAGGGGCAGAGACAAACTACTGGGAGGAAATCTCACCATTGTGGGAGGGGCAGAGACA